CAATGGCGGTTTATTTTCTCAACTACAGGCATGCGCAGTTACATATGGGTAATACTAACTACCGGATTGTCCGGAACCAAATACAACCATGTTACACCAGTCATACATTACGTCATACATTACATCTTTCCTTTCATAGAAAAATAGTTGGATCATTTCCAAAGCATTATTCTGATCAACTGAAAATACACATTTTTAAGTAAAGAATTTTAAGTAAAATTTGTTTCTTTACTGTTATCATAATATTGAATTGATAGTTTCTAAATTTACTCATGAAGTTATAATAAACACTAATGTACATTTTATGAGTAATATAAAGTCAATTAACCATGTCAATGAGATAATTTCACTATTAACCTGAAAAACATTGAGTCTTATATGAAACCTAACTGAACCAGTCTTTCAAAAACTAAAACACTAACTGAACTAGTTGTCTTTTAAACTTTAAACTCGTTAACACAAAATCTATTGAACAAAGTCTTTGAATCTTGCTGGCGTTTTGATAATCCTTCCAGAACTGGATAGGCGTGGACTATCCAAAACTGATGTAGGTGGAAGTTGGTTTTGCACGGCCTGACGGGTTTCCTGTGACATATTGCTATCCTGGATGGATGTTTTTGTAGCCAAAGTTTGCTTGGACGGTTGATTACTGGGCGGCCAGCAATGTAAATTAAGGTCAGCTGGTTCTTGGTCCAAGTCTGCCTTTGACCTGGTTGGTCGTAGATGTCTGTGGTTTCGCCGGTATGCCCGATTTCCTGATCGGATTACATAGGACCTTGGGGTCTTATGTTTCTCAATTACTGTTCCATGTTTCCATTCAGATCTACATGTATTTGGATGTTGTTGTAGCAGGACCTGGTCTCCAGGGCTCAGTGGTTGTAGACCTCCACTGGCATGTCGATCATAACTTTGTTGTTGTTTTTTCTGGCGTTTTACCAGTTGTTCCCGCACCTTATCAAATGCTTCAGCCTTGAGTAATGGTAATGACGTCGGTATTGTAGTTTTCAATCTTCTTCCAAGGAACATTTGAGCTGGTGAAAGTCCAACTTCATCAATATTAGAGTTCCGATATTCTAATAAGGCCAGATATGGGTCATTTGATTTCTTCAGTAAGCGTTTGACGGTTTGAACCGCTCTCTCAGCTTGCCCATTTGACTAGATAATGTGGACTTGAAGTAGTATGTTCAAACTGGTACTGCTGTGAGAACTGTTTAAATTCAAAGCTAGCAAATTGGGGTCCATTGTCACTGATTACTAAATCAGGTATACCATACTTTGCCATTTGACTTTTCATGTGACTGATGACACACTTTGCGGTAGTAGATTCAAGTCTCACAATTTCTGGCCATTTTGAAAAATAATCCACGGTCAGTAGGTACGATTCATTATTGTAGTCAAACAGGTCCACACCTATTTTAGACCATGGCCTAATGGGCAACTCTGTCGCGATCATTGGCTCCTTATGGTTTGCATTATTATGCTTGGCACATATCTCACATGAGTTGACTCGGTCCTCAATGTCTCGTGACATGCCTAGCCAGAACAGTATGTCCCTTGCTCTGTTCTTACATTTCACTACACCAAGATGAGAAGAGTGAATAAGGTCCAACATTTCTTTTTTCATAGACCTGGGCACTACGAGTTTATGAGATTTGTACATGAGCCCATCAATGCACGATATTTCATCGCGAAAGGTCCAATATGAACGTAGCTCAGCTGGTACGTCCACCTTGTTGTCTGGCCATCCGTACAGAACAATATCCTGTAACTTCTGTAACTCATCATCTGTAGCTGTAGCCTCTTTGAGTTGTTTGTATTTCTCTGGTGAAACAGGTAAATATGCAGTCAGATGAATTTCATTAACCTGTAAGTCTGGAACCAAAACTTCTTTTGTTTCTTTCAAGTATGCACGACTCAGATGGTCTGCTAAAAACATGAGCTTTCCTGGCTTGTAAACGACTTCCACATCATAACGTTGCATAGCTAATAACAATCTCTGTAACCTCGGAGGTGTTTGTAGAATTGGTTTTTTGAATATTGCCTGTAGGGGTCTGTGGTCTGACTCCACGGTAACTTGTCGCCCATACACGTATTCATGAAATTTCTCGCAACCAAACAGAATTGCCAACGTTTCTTTTTCTATTTGTGAGTATTTTTGCTGTGTAGTGGTGAGTGCCCTCGAGGCATATGCGACCGGTTTTTCCTCTTGTACCAGAACAGCACCTACCCCTTTGCTACTGGCATCCACTGAGAGGGTAAGTGGTTTACTGCTATCATAGAACTGTAGTACAGGTGCAGCTGAAACCAGCTGTATTAGAGTTTGAAACGCTTCTTCCTGTTGTTTCTCCCAATGCCATTCAGTCTTTCCCAAGAAGACTTCGTAGTGGTGCACTGACCTCTGCTAGTCTTGGTAAAAACTTATGTAGGTACTGCACGAAACCCATTAGGGTTTGGAGCTCTTTTACATTGATTGGTTTCTCCATATTTTGTACTGCTCTCACCTTCTCGGGGTCAGGTTTCACCCCATTCTTAGTCAATAAATGTCCCACATAGGTGACCTCTGTCTGACCTATTACACACTTGTCTTGGCCAAGTTTTACATTGTACTCACGTGCCCGTTCCAGCACTCTCTGTAGCCTGTGATCATGTTCCTCTTTGGTGGTTCCCCATACCAATATATCATCAACTATGGCTTCTGTCCCTTCAAGGTCTGATACCATTTCTGTTATTACCCGTTGAAATACTTCGGGGGCTGACTTGACTCCAAAGGGCAGCCGGGTGAACCGGTACCTTCCAAATGGAGAGTTAAAGGTACACAACTTTGAGCTGTACTCGTCCAATTTTAACTGCCAAAATCCTGAAGTAAGATCTAATTTACTGAAAATCTTAGCTCCGGGCATCCTTGAAACCACCTCCTCAATAGTTTTGAGTGGAAAATGTTCTCGTTGTATAGCTCTATTCAGATCACACGGGTCAATACATAACCTCAGTTTCCCATTAGGTTTCAGGACTGTCACAAGGGAGTTAACCCATTCAGTGGGTTCTTCCTGTTTTACTATAACTCCCAGGTTCTCCATGCGGTCCAGTTCATCTTTGACTTTATCTCTGAGCGATATAGGTACTCTCCTTGGGGGGTGTACTACTGGCGTAACAGATTTATCAAGCTTAATGGAGTGCTCTCCTGGCAAGCATCCTAGTCCTGAGAATAGGTCCTCGAATCCTTCATCAATCCCTGCGGGTACTTTTCCTGCTGAAGTTTGTATTGAGTGTATCCGTTTAATGAGACCTAGTTCCTGGCAAGTAGAAGCTCCTAATACTGCTTGAGCGTTCATGTCAACAACATAGAACTGTACTTTCTGTTCAGGCTTGTTTTTATAGGAACACATCATATGTGTTGTTCCGATACACTTTATCTGATGCCCATTGGTCGTAATAGCACGTGTCACTTCCAACTTGACTACCAAGAAAGCAACATACACTCTGGGAAACCAACCCGCCCGCCCAGAATGCAGAAAATCCACTAGCAGTACAGAACACCTAGACCTAGGAAAAATAAGGAAATATCAACAGATTAGTGCCCGAATTCGCAGAATAACAAATTAGTGTTAGACAACAGACAACTTCTCAATAAGAAAAGGAAATAAATCATATGTATGTCTTTGTAGTCAGATAACCATTAAGGCAGTTGGGTCTCTTGTTTAGCAGGAACAACAGTAATTTTTGGGACCCCGGTTTAGCTGGTCCTCAGATCTGGACCTAGTCATTTTCCTGTGGGACTTGCTCATATTTTCAGACTAAGCTATAGATTTAGTATTGGGACTGACCAAAATTTTGGAAATAATATTCCAGATTCCAAATTACTGGACAGGTAAATACACCCAGCAAGTTTAATAAATAAACAGAAACACATGAATAGTATATGCATATTATATTTAATTTTGTATAAACGTACAGAACAACATATGTTTATAATGACAAGAGGCCCATGGGCCTTTAAAAGTCTGACTACCATATCAGAGAATTCCAAAGTGAAAGTATTTTTTATTGCATCATACTTCAGGCTAAACCTTCATCCTTCATTTCCATCAGAAGAAATAGATTTTATGAGAATTCAATAAGTTCTTCCTTCTGGGTCCTGCCTCTTTGGCCTGTAGGGGTACAGCCCCAGTTTCAACATTTAATCAGCCTTTTAAATAAGCATGTTTGAGATCAAATATCAACTACATCCTACAAAGCAGGATTTTCAAAACATCATAATTTAGGAAGTTGTCCTTTTTGGACCCCACCTACTGGCCCCTGGGGGCTTTGACCCACAGTTTATACAAAATTGAGTCAACTTGTGCTAAGCATTTTGCTGAATGAAAATAAATTCCTTGAATTCCTTCAGGAGGAGTAGGATTTTAAAGAATTTATGAAGAATTTACAAAGTTTCCACAGTTGGGCCTCACCCCTTTGGCCCAACACCAACAATTTACACCAAATTGAATTCCCTTGTCCTCAGCATGCTGTAGACCACATATGAACCCTATCCTGCAATTCCTTCAGAAGAAGTAGGATTTTACAGACTTTAGGAGGAATTGACTAAATTTCCCATATTGGGCCTCACCCCTCAGGCCCTTGGGGGGCTAAGACCAACGGTTTACGCAAAATTAAGTCCCCTTGTCCTGAGCAGGTTGCAGACCAAATATGAATCTTTCCTTCATTTCCTTCAGTAGGAATAGAATTTTAAAGCCTTTGCTAAATTTCCCCTTTCGGGCCCAACCACTTGGCCTCTAGGCGTCCAATCTAAATTCTGAATTTAAGAATCGATCATCCTCAGAAAAATGCATTTGACCAAATTTAGTTGAAATCTGTCAATGCAAGAATGAAGAGCAGCATGTAAAAGCATATTCAATTATTTCCCCATTTGGTCAAATATGAAGGAATTCCCATTAGGCATGAAGGAGGAGTAGCATTTTGAAGCTTAATTAAATCCCCCTGCCCCTGAGCCCCTAGGGGTCGAATCAAAATTTTGAATTGAAGGTACAGACACCATCACCCAAGGGTACATCAGATTAAGTTTTGAGGCAAATCTTTAAGGCATGAAAGAGGAGCAGCATTTTTAAATAAGTTTACAGAATGGCGCACATCACATAACAATGAACCATGCATGATGGCTTAAGGTCATCTTGAACCTTCCAGTCAGATGACCTAAAAATCAGGAGTATGACTCTTTAAACTTAATAAATATATTCATTACATTAATTAATTAGTTACATTTCTATAAAACACATTTATTTCATTTTACTGAAATATACAGTGCCCAAACTTATCAAATAAATATTATCATTAAAACAGATATTATGCATCAATTGCAACATTTGTAAACCTCAAAAGTGATAACATAAATTGCTAGGTAATGTTCTTCCTGATCACACTCAAACTTAAATGCAGACAGATAATGACAAATGGTGAACCTATTTAAATTTTTAAAAAAATCCAAGTACTTTTCAAGAAATAGTGATTACAAATTATGACTCAAAATCAAAGAATTCAATATAATATACATCCATTCAGTGCTTTTAAAAAAAACAGTTATTGCCACACAACTGTTAAAATCAAAGATGGCGGTCTATTACTAATTATATTTTCCAGATCACACTCAAAATTAAATGGCCATGGGCACAACTAGAAACCAAGAGGAACTTGCATAGTCCGTGAAATACTCTTCCTGTACTTTTCTGAAAATAGTGATGACATACTTCAGTTGCCAAAATCCAATCCTGCTTGCTGTTTTTTTCATGATATTCAGGTTTGAAAATAAATAGTCATAACTAGATTCAAAAAGAAACCTGCTTATGAAGTTGGAGAAATACCGCTGGATAGCTTTACAATGAAACTAGGCAACAAAGATTGTTTACATCAAAGTTCTTGTACCTAAATCAACTTCATCACAGTGATGCATGCAGCAATTTTATCAATTAACATGATTAAAGAAAGAAATGTAAGGCCAATATTAAAACTAAATACTAAAGCATCTACATTTTGAAAAAGATTCATGACATGATCCTATCAATAGCATCAGCACATTGACAATATTGTTCCTCCAAACTGGTAGCTGCAGAAGTTTCTTGTAGGACTGAATCCACAATCTCTGTAGGTAGCACATGACCCCTCCTTTGAATGACTCGGTCACTGTCACTCAGTTGGACATCCGAGAGGCTCAGTCCAAAAGCTTGGAGTTTTCCACTTAGGTCTTCAGGACCTATGTAGTCTCTTATATGAGCATCCCCCATCAACATTCCCTCTGTCCATATCTGCTCTGGAGTCCGGTTTGATTCTGTGCAAATCCTGTGGCTGTTCCATGCATTCATAAATGAGTGCAGTCTCTTGCTGATGTTAGGAACATACACCATCTGTAAAGCACAGATGTGATTGTCATTGGAAACGTCGAGGATTCCCCTATCTTCCATTGAGTAGAACATTTGGTAGAAGATATCTCCCACCTGCTCCTGCACATCTCTCCATAAGCGTTCTATTCTCTGATTATGGACTGACCTCCCTGTCAGATGGCTTGTGGTAGAATCCTGAATTAAGTTCATGAACAAGGCCACCTGCACATTCTCACCACCATGGTCACTTCTTACTCAGGCTGGTAGTCCATATCGCAAAACAGCACCAATAAAGAGATTAAGTACAGTCTTGGAAGTGTTGTCCACACCACACTCCAAGAATGTGATAAGGTGGGAATAGCCATCTATACAGCCATGTGTCACAATACCCCATCTGCATAAAAAATGATATAAATATAAGTGATTATGCTGAATAATATGTTGATCATTCAAGCAATTATGAATTGAATATAAAATTATATGGCAGATTGCTGATTAGAAGGTGCATTTCTTTAGAGTTGTTCATACATTTACTCAGATCTCTAATAGTAAAGGATAAAACCAATATGAATGATTTTTGATCTATGACTGATCTATTAGTTTGGTAATATTATGGTGACAAAATGCTACATCTTGAATACAGTAGTCATGAGCTCTATATACATGTAACTAATGTATCTATTAATTATCATATGTTGAAACTTTCATTATGAAGTAGAGTACTTTAGTTTAGTTTTAGTTTATTGTTGTTTTACGTCCTATCCACAACTAAGGTCATTTAAAGACGTGCAGAGTACTTTAAAGTTCTAAAGGTTTAAAATTCAGCCATGTTTAAAATAATATACATTAATAATCCTACCCATTCCTCCCCAACCACCATCTCAAAAAGAGAAAATGTCCTACCGAATGAGACGCATATGTCCGTCCATGTGCCAAAGACTGTTTGGTACTGGGACCTTATACACCCGTCTCACTATAGCACGACTCCACCTCTTAGCAGCTGCTTCAGGATCAACCCTGTTGAGAGTCTGGCGAACCCGTCGTCTTTGTATTTGAAGTCCTTCACTTCTAAGGTACCCACTCATCATCTGAAAAATGTTTTGATAAATGATGAAATACATTTAGCTTTTAAAATGCTGAAAAGCATCAATTGAAAATGTTCTTATAATTAAGTGGAAACCCATTTCCTGTCCAGTAAGTGTTGTGACATTCGAACCTGAAAAGCAATCTCAGTTGACTCCAGCAAGCACTTCTGAATCTCATAAGGGAAGTTTACGTCCCGAGTTGCTCTAGCAAGCTACACTGATTTGCTTTACACATAGGAGTGCATCTTTGTATAAAATCCTTTGGTTGTTGAAGATATTCAGTGATTGATATGTTTGAGGTTAAACTGAAAATGGCATATAGCTAGCAACAATTGTGCTGTTGAATTACTGACTGTATGGTCATGATCTACATACTACACAGACACCTAGAATTTCTTTATTTGTATTATATAACAGGATATTTTTCCTTCACCAGATCTTGATTTTCCTTCCTCCTTTTAATAAATGTAAATGTTAGTTGTGCTTGATAAAAAAGTACTTCTTGTTAACAAAAGATTTAACAAAGATGTTCAAGTTGAAAGGGAATGATGTTTAGACAAATAAAAAGAACTCTGAATGACTTTAATAAGAATGAAGAATTAAAAAAGATTAAATTCAGTGTTCTTGTTTATACCAAATCCAATGATGACCACACACACTTTAATATACTATTACCTCATTTCCTGCATTAGGATGTGCCTGATGAATGTCTTGTACATCAAGATCAATGTCACTGATTGTAGAATACTTCACACTTCTTACAGACAGGCCAGCAGATTTCAGGGTCTTGTAGACCAGGGAAGGATTGCAGTGAAGTTGATCTGCAATGGCTTTAGCTGTGAAGCCCTTCTTCAACTGTCTCCGGATTAGGTTGACAGTGATCCCAAATGCAGGACGGCCTTTCCCTTTTGAAAATCCATCTTGACCGGA